ACACACCTGGACACGCTCCGCCCGCCACGCCTCGCGAGACCACCTCTGATCTCCTCCTTCATCTCACCTTCCTCCCATGTGGTCATGCGGGTATTGTTGTCCCCCCCCCCTCCCTCCCTTTACAATGGTCAGTACACGCTGCAGTACTGGTACAGGTACTGGTACAGGCCAGGTACTTGTTGTTATTTTTGTCGTCGTAAGCCGGCCGGCCGGGGCTGGGCAGGCACCAAAGGCACCACGGGCACCCCGCGGGCCGCGCGCGCCGATGTTTGTGTCGTTCGTGTTCTTCTTTGTTTCCTTTGTCACTCTGTCTATACACTGTACACATTATTGTTCATATGTTTGTTTCCTTTGACACACTCTGTAAGAACACTGTGTACACAGTAAAACGTCGCGTTTTATCGTTTTTGTCGCGGCTCGGCGTCCCGACCTCGACTCTGCGAAACTCTCTGCAAACTCAGTTGAAGTACAGTACTTACATGCGACAGTATGCATCAGATCAACAACAACGGGACTTTCAAAAAAATAAAAATAAATGATAAACCCATGTTGGAACTGCACGAATGTTAAATGTTTTGTTTAATTCTGTTTCGTTACCAACGCGCTTTGAGTCTCAAACCAGTCAGCGGCAAAAACGACGCCTTTATTCTTCGCTGATCAGACGCACAATGTTACTTTCAGAAACTGTATTATTTGCACCTTTTAGCAGTTCATCTCGACGGTCACGCTGGCGCTGCTCGTGGCATGTCACGCGCGAGAGGGCCGCGGTCTCTGAGGGCCCCGTCCGCTCAGGAGGGGACCCGGGGGACTTGACGACGACGACGACGGCGACGGCGACGACGATACGCGGTCGGATGTGAAGATGTGCGGCGGCTAGGTGGGCGGGCAGAGCGGTTGATGCTGTCTGGTGTTTCACAGGCCAGCCCTATCCCATCGCATCCTGCCGCTGCCCCGCCCCGCCCCGCCGACTGTGGGGATCACGTTACGCGCGCTTACCCGTGACACGTCCCCGTCACACGGCTCTGCACCGCTCCGCTCCTCGTAAACCCCGGCACCTTATGAAAAACAATGTAAAACCTGAGCGCGCGCGCGCATTGCGGGATTTCTCATACGGGCCCCGCTGCATGGTATAGGTGCGCGGCGGGGCCCCGGCGGGCCCGCAGCTGTATCTCGTTGTTGTTGTGGCTTGGCTGCGCCTGCTGCGCCACGCGGAGGCTGAGCCGGCTGAGCGCGCTGAGCGAGCGTACAGACCAGTACCAGTACGGGCCGGGCAGAGCACACAGCACACACTCTCCGGAGGCCGAGGCTGCGGCCGGGCCGGGCTGGGCAGTGTCTCTGGCCGCCACGCCACGCCACGCCGGGCCGACCGTCACAACACACACTGGTGGTGCTCTGCGTAGCGAGACAGTTAAGCCCTTGACCCTGCTCGCCGGGCCAGCAGCACCAGGCCATCGGAGATGGGAGGCACCGGGTGGGTGTTGGTGGAGGACGAGGAGGAGGAGGAGGTGGTGGAGGAGGAGCAGGAGGAGGGGCACGCGTGCTCAAAGCGACAGGTGGGGGGTTTTAAACCGAACCCGACCGGACGCCCGCCGACTGCGGACTGACCTAGTTGTTTTTCAAAGGTACTCATTACTATCATTTTCTGAAATTCCGGGAGAGGTAAAGCGAAAGGTAAACGCTACGGAAACGGCGGCGGGGCCCTAAGGGCGCGCGGAGGGCGTCTACCTAAATACCACCTTGCTGTGCTTCAGCGGAGAAGAGAGGGGAAAAGGAAAGGGGAGGGGGGGGGGTAGCGAAAAGCGCTGACCAGACGCGCGCAGCAAACATGTGCGTTACCGCTAACGCCGAGCACCACCGGGGCGGGGCGGGGCGGGGACGGGTTGCCGCGGCGGCCAGCGCCGCTTGGCCGCGACTCGCAACGCCCTAAGTTGCAATAGGCCTACCCCCGAAATAGCCGCGGTGGCGCGGCGGGGTGCGCTCAGGCGAAAGGGCCAGGGCGGCGAGCCACAGCAGAGCGTGCAAAGAAGACAACTACTGAAACTTTTATTACTTACTGATAGGAATCCGAAAATAAGAGGTACCTGCTGGGGATGTCTTCTCAATCTGCTTCTGAGCTGGTCATCTTTTTGTCACAGTTCGAACTTGTCCAGCGCCCACAGCAGGCGTCGCCTCTTGAGGCGCCCCCCGCGGGCCTCCATCGAGCGCAAGGGCGTCGGCCCGACTGGTGCCGTCGCATCGTCCTCGAGGCCCTCCCCGGGGTGGGCGGGGAGCTCTGCTCCTTCGGGTGAGGAGGAGCCGCGTCGCTTCAGGCTGCACCCGGAGGGGACCGATGGCACCTGCGGAGCGGAGAGAAAAAGACTAAAGCACCGCTCGGTGGCTGAAAAAAAGACGATGAAATGACCAAAATTTGACCGATACCTTGAACGGTGTCGATCCACTGCTAAGGCACTGCTGGCTGCAACCTACGGACATAAAACCGGGCAAATTAATTGACAGGAAACTACAGCAATGTTTTCTGGTAGTGTGTTTTGTTCATTTTCTTTGACTAAACATACCCACTTCATACGAGTCCATCAAAAGCTTGAGGCCCGCGCCGCCAGCTGCTCGGCTGCCAGCGGGGACACCATTCGGCACCTCGCCGTCGGCCTCCGGCAAGGGCAGCGCTGGGATCGGGCCGATGAGGTTGAGTGCCTCTTCGGGGACCTGGTCAGCATGGTCGTCCGAGAGACGGGTTAGCTGGTCGTGGGCACAGTTCGGGACGTGCTGGTCATCTGACTGCGGAACGGCTGCCGCTGCCCGTTCTGCCTCACTCAATGTCTCGGCCCCGCCGCCTTCCTCGTCGTCGTCCTCGACGATGACCAGCACGCCCGGCGACCTGTCGTCGTCCGGCTCCGACAGCGGGCTGTAGGAGATGGACCCGTCGTCCGAGGAAGACACCGCGGCGTTCTGCACTCCAGGGCTGGGTTTCAACACGACGGGCACCTCCTTGTCCGCGACGGAGACGGGTGCCACACCACTCGCACCGGCCTGGTTAAAAGAGACGGAGGTCCTAACGGACGCGGACGTTTCCGAGCAGTCCGGGGAGGCGAGCAGCGGCTTGAGGTTGCTGCGGAAGGGTGGAATGAAAGTGTACGGGTGTCTGGTGGCGACCCTCGGGCGCGGGGCCGTCGAGGGAGGGCTGCACGTCAGGGAGATGATCGGCGCAGAGGACGTCCGGGTGACTTCGGATTCCGGCGGTAAAGCGATTGACGCCAAGGAAGACGGTGCGATGCCCGCAGCCGGTGCGGGCGGCAGCGGGGCCGTCAGCTGCAACCCCGTGTCTGCGGGCTGCACCGTCGAGTCTGTTGGGTACACTTCCTGGTCTGTTGGTGGCTGTGTTATCGAGTTGGCTTGTTCAGTCGTCGATTGTTCAATTAAATCTCCCGTGTCGTCCGTATTCTCCACGGCGCTCGAGCCTACGACAGGAGGCTGCACCGTCGGACAGTGCCGCACCTGCTCTACATCTGAATCGGGGTCTTCTGCTGCTACTAAAGCTGGTGGTTCTGCTACTGGTCGATCAGGCGAACTGACCAACGAGACCACGGTTGGGTTTGGTCCTTCACTCGGTACAACTACCTGTCGGTCAGATACCTCGACCTTTGAGTTGTGCGCGAGGTTCAGGTCTCCATTCGGTGCGGTGCTCTGTCCCGCGTTCTGCGCCTGGCTCCCGGCTGCGGGACTATTTGGGCCCGGCGGGGGAGGAACCTCTTCAATCAGCTCAACGACGCCAACGACCGGCGCTGCAGTGATTGCCGGAGGAATCCCGTCCGGTTCGGAGTGCGGCGCGGCGACCGAATCCGTCGTTTCTAGACGCTCCTCGCAGGTTGCAGGCGGTGGTAGCGGGGACTGCTCGGGTGGGCAGACGTCCTCCTCTACCGACATCTCATCTGGAGGATCTGGAGGAAGGGCGGTGGCAGACTCGTGGGCGCCGTCGGGAGATGGGGCCTGCTCAACGAGCGCAGCTGTCCCGCCGGACACGGGGCTGCCGTTCGCGGTGGTCGCCTGCGTCATGTCGAACGTGAACGAGAAATCGAACGACTCGCCGTCCAGAGAGCCAAACAAGTCCGAGCCGGGAGACGAGAGAGGCTCTGACAACGGCGGGATACTGGAGCGCTCGTCGAAAGGCTGCTGTCCTGAGGGAGTAGCCCCTGGAGGCTGTTCCACCGGGAGCGCAGCCTCTGGAGGCTCTTCCGCAAGCTGGTGCTCCGGGACAGCAGTAGCGCAAGTCTTTTCTTGACGTTTATGCTCCGTGAGCGAGTCATCTTCAGGCTTTTCCGAAGGATGCTGGTCCGGAAGAGGAGAAGCGGAATTATTGTCCAGGTGGTTTTGCTCCGCGATCGCGCTACTTTGAGGCTTTTCCAAAGTGTGCTGGTCCGGGAGAGCAGTCGCTGGAGGCTGGTCCATAACGGGCTGCTGCTTCGGATGAGCATCAGAAGGAGTATTTTCCGTGGTTTTTCGCTCCGGCAGAGAGCCATCTTCCGGCTTTTCCAAAGGATGCTGGTCTGGGAGAGCAGTCAGTGGAGGCTGCTCCACAGGCTGCTCTATCAGGGCAGGTGTAGGCGCAGGTTCCTGCACATGTGAAATACCAGGATCGTTTGACTGGCGTTCTTGACACGCCTCCTTTTGTTGCTGCTGTTCTTGCAGTTTTCGGAAGAATTGTCGTGTGTGTTCACGGCCTGTGTCTCCGCAATCCGATTGTTTTTGAGGTGGTTGGGGTGCGGGCCGGGCCGGCGCTGCGGTAGCCGTTACAGGGGGAGGCGCCATCTGAGGAGGGAGAGACCAACGCATCTTGGAGGCCGGTAGCTTGGCCAGGTACTTCAGGAGGGCCGGGGGAGCATTGGTCGGAGCACTTGGACACGTTCGCACAGGAGGATCGCACACACCTGTGTTGGCAGCCGTGAGTTTGACATCTACGAGTGCAGGAACTGACGGCGGCAGTGTTGCATTTGGTGTTTTGAATGTCGTTTTCTTTAAATTTAGCCGTTTTGAAGGAGAGCTGGGCTTGTCCATCCTCTTCACTGGCTGATCCTTTGGAACAGGAGTAGGGGGTGAGAAGGGGTAACTCATGGAGGATGATTGAGACAGACTGTCCGATTGAGGTCCTGGAACCTGCACAGCTCCCTTGGATGCATCTTGTTCTGCAACTCGCTCCGGTTGTACCCGAGACGGATTACGCATAAAGGTATCATCTGATTGCTCACACAGACTGTCCAACTGGGGTCCTGGAACCTGTGCATCTCCCTCGGAAGCATCTTGTTCAGCAACTCGCCCCAATTGAGCCGGTGGCGAATCAAGGATCACTATTGTCGGAGAAGCCGAGAGCGGTGGTCGGGCTGGAGGTGGCTCGTGTGTGAGCTCTGGGAAAAGAGGCACAGGAGCGGGCGAATTCACACGGGCGTTGAACGTGCCAAACACCCTCTTCTTGAAGGTAAACCGACTTGGTGGCTTCGCGGCTGCAGGTGTCTCAGTGCGCGTGGCGTCTTGGCTGGTTAAGACCGTCGATGCGAGAGGAAATGTTGCAGTCGGTTCTGCCTCCAGTGAAGAAGGCGGTGGCTGTGTTGTGGTGCACGCTGAAGTCGTTCTGGAGGGAGAACGTTGAGGTTCTGAGGACGTTTTGGGTGGGGTAGGATGTGGTGCAGGCCCCGTCAGTCCCGTCTTAAAGAGCGAAGGTTTTTCTGAGGAAAACACTGGCGCTGTGCTGGAGGGCGCTGTCCTAGAGGGCGGAGGCTCTGGTTCAGAGAACGTCCTTGAAGACGCTGGTAGTTGCACTGAGACCAACGTCGCCGTTCTGGTGGCTGCTGGAGGCTGAGGTGCACGAGGAAGTGTAACTGACGTCCTGGAAGACGCAGGCAGGAGTAAAGTTGTAGCAGCCGTCCTCCCCGTCGACCTGCTCGCGGCCGACGACAAGGCCGTCGCCTTCGCGGCCACCTGACTCGAGGCCCTCTCCGGCAGCGCGGGATACATCATGTCAGAGTCGAAGAGCTTGCGTCCGCCCCTGCGCCGTGGTGGTGCGGCCGCTGGCGCGACGGGGGGCGGCGGCGGCGAGGGCGGGGCCGCCGGGGCCTCATCGACAGGCTGATAAGGAGGATGAATGTTTTTATGGGTTAGCCGTCGTCGAGTATTATGAGTAGAACCCAGTAATTAAGTACCCATATACCTGCTCGGTGGCCACTGCTCCGCGCTGCCGCCAGGCCATGCTCAGCTGCGGGTACGACGAAGCCGCGGCGGCTGGTGGCGGCGCCCTGGGCCGAGGCCTCTGCTGCTGCTGGACGGCGCGCGCCGTAGAGGCCAGGAGGAGGCTCTGCTGCTGCAGCATCAGCGAGCGGTTCACCTCCATCAGCCTGTTGCGCTCGGCCTCCTGCTCGCGGTGGTGCATCGCCATCCTCTGAACGGGGATCAAAGAAAGGTTTTTAGGGACACTTGCGATGAGAGTTTGCAAAACAAAACCAGGAGAGAGGGACGTCGACTCCCGACTCACCGACTCCAGATACTCGATGTGCCCGCTGCTGGCAGACAGCTGCTCCTGCAGGGACCTGCTCTCTGCCTCCAGGGCGTTGATGCGGTCCGTCAGCTGGGCGTTGCGGTCCTCGAACTGTCGACAAAGTGAAACAAAAACATCCCGACCGATCCTTACAAACTGTACACCTCTTTTCATCGCGAGGGTCGCGGACTTAGTTGTCTGTACCTCGAGCGCGGCCAGGTTCACCTCCTCGGCGCACTCCTCGCGGACGCTCTTGATCTCGTCGCGCAGCGAGGCCAGCTCCTCCTCGTGAGCGAGCCGGGCCTCCTCCTCTGGGACCAAAGAAGAGGTAAGAAGTAAAGATTCTGTCCCAAGATTTCATCCGGAGCAACCACGTACGAACGGAAGTAGGTTTTCGAGGGTTGCATTTCATTACTCGAAGATCAACTTGAAGCCCCATACGCCTTCGCACACACCCCGCCTTACTTCCCGACGACCTCGGCGTAAAGTGTTCAGTCTGTTGCGTGCACCGCCGCCTGACACAGAAACCCTGTAGGGCCCGACCACAACAAGGTCACCATCCTCCTCGTGTGTCTACTACATGTGTCTGGTGTCACCCGCGCGAACTCACGACATCACGTCCAATAATGATGTCCGTTTTGGACAACTTAACGAGCGCGTACCCTTCTTCTTGAACTCGTCGAGCGCGCTCTTCTTCTCCCTCTCCGCCGCCTCGCGCGCCTCCCGCACCTGCTCGCGCGCCGTCTGCTTCTCCAGCTCCAGGGCCCGCTGGGCCTCCTTGGCCGAGCGCTCCAGGGCCGCGCAGCGTGCCGCCGCCATCTGCAAACAGAAGCACGCTCACTCGTGTGCCGGGAGGTGCAGGGGGTGGTGCACTTCTTAGCGGGTGTCCCTAACCGTCACTGACACCGCCGCCGCCGTGCGAGCAAAGGAGCAACCACAAAAAAGAACGGTACTGCACAGCGTCAAGGGTATCCCGAGTCGTATCTCATTATCGTTGTTCAAAAATACTCACGGCGGCCTCGACGCCGGTTCGGTTCCTCAGCTCTTGGATCTCCCCCTTCAGCTTCAGGTTGTCGTCTGCCGACAAAATAAATTAGAGCATCAGTGGCATAACAAGTCGGCAACTGGAGGGTTAGACTTTCACCCCGGCCGGACCATCCCCCATGCCTATACATAATACACGACTTGTCCCTCGACACGAAAGGTCCGGCGCGCCATCTATACCCCGCGGACCTAAACCGCGTGAGCGGTGCGGGGGGCGGGGAACAGACCGACGTGCACGGGGGCGGGGGAAGGGACGGGCGGCCGCCGTGCCGTGGCCTCGCCGCCACGGCGATACTCCGCGCGCTCAGAGTATGGCCGCCAGCGCCCGCGGCCCGCCCACGCCTCCCGCGCGGCGCGCCCCCGGCGGCGGGCTGGCTGGGGGCGCGATGCTGGGGCTGCGGGCGCGGCGGGCAGCGTGCTGGCTCCAGTTCGGCGTCCGTCATCCCCAACAAGAGACGCGGTGGTCGGGCACGGCACGGGCTGTGCAGCACGGATCACCTGAGTGACAGAGATGCAGCAGCCGGACCAGCCGGACCAGGAGGAGCGCGCCCGCAAGTGGGAGAGCCCCGCGCGCTACCCCCACTCCATTTGGACCGATGAACCCGACGGTACGACGCGGGGCTAACCCCTTCCACTTCGCCCTGCCGCCCTCTCCCCTCCCTTTCTCTTTGTCTCGCCCCTCCCCCTCCCTCACCCCACCCCCTCTCTCCCTCGACACTCACTCGCACATCTGTTTTGACGGCAGGTCTGTCGAGGGCGCTGTACGCCCACGAGGACCTAGAGACGGTGGCCCGCTCGGCGCGCGTCGCGCTGCACCTGCAACAGGCCGCCGTCGGCGCGACGCCCTGCCTGTACGCCACGGTGACGACCACGGTGAGTGAGCCGCGATCTGAATCATCTGTGCTGGCGTCAGTTTTTAAGAGGGCCTCCCCATAAAACGTCGTGCCGCGACTGGAACGGCGGGCTCGATGCATGACGAGCCATTGCGGTGCAGATTTGTCGCACGTACCCATGAGTCTGGTCTTCACCCTGTCCAGCAGCGCGTAGTTCTTGGCCAGCGTGACGTAGTCGCTGGCGGCCTTCATGGCCACTTTCTCAGACTGCAGGGCCTGCACGAGGCGATCCTCCAGTTCCTTGTTCCGGGCGCGCTCCCTCGTCAAGTTGGCCACCATCTCCGTGCGCACCTGCAATCACAAAACAGTGGGAAAGGAGGAGGGGGGAGGCAACATTTCACTGTTGAAAAGTGGGAAGGGCGTAAGTCCCACGGACTTTGCGTTGGACTTACGCCCATTTCAATTTTCACCAGTGATTTGTTTCCAGAGTAAGAGGTCTGCCCCGCTCGGTCAGGGACGGCTCCGATAATCAACGCCGGGCTGTGCTGTGCTGTGCAGCACGGCTTTAGTCGGCGAGAGAGAATCTAGACAATGCCGAAAATCCGCGCTCCCCTAACTGCAGTTGTCGCATTCAGGGACACATCCGGGGAGGCAGGCCTCTGGCAGAAGCGCGCTCGAGTTTAGAAAAGTTGTGCCCCTCTGCCAAAGTCGCTGCCGCCGTCCGTCCCATCCACTCCACGCGTCGAATGGGTTGCCTACGGCCCCGGCGCTCCACTTCGACGCGAAGAGCGAGCGAGGAAAAGGCTTCTCTGCTCTCCGAACGATGATGTTATGTTCGCGACTCTAGAAACTGTTTGCTGCCGTCGCATCAAATGCGTTACCTGCTGGAATTTCTCCGCCACGATTTTGATGTGCATGACGTCCTCGCTGAGTGGCTTGTAGGCCAGAGGGTTGCTCTCGTTCCCCTCCATGGCGGGAGGCACGGGTCGCCGCGACAGCCTGCAACACACGGCGGCAGGGATTTCATCAAGAGACAAGTAATTTCTCGTCGACAAGCGTCGTTTATTCTGTGAAAATCTAACTCAATTTAAGCTCGACACTCTTTTAAAATTGCATTTTCCGTGCCGGAGCAGTGCAGAGGGTTGGGACGACGTGAGATGAGAGGGTGCGGGCAGACACCACAGGCACAGGGCACTCCGAACAGAGTTGCACCATAGAAACTTTGTTCAACCCGACGTTCCTCTTTCTTTCCATGGAGGCCGTCCCGATTCAAACAAACTCGCATCCGTAGGCTCCCTCACTTCAGTATACAGTATGCAGATCCATCAGGTGAATCGTATTATCCTCCACCCCCACCCCCCGCTCAGCTTCCCGCCGCCTTTAACTCCAACACACTCAGCCCTCGTCCCGATTGCTCGCGCTCGGGTTTTTCCTGCCGATATAAATAGTGGATTCTTACGCCACAGCAGTGCAGCGTCACTGGCGTCACCGGTAGTAGACCTGTACGACCAAACAATTTGTCCAACGCCCCTTAATTATTGTGAATGTGTTATGCTGCACGACATACAGGCGTGCGTGCGTGATTGCCCATCGTCTGACTAGTCTGTGGCGACTTCTGGCGAGTAGGCAACCCGCACACACACCCGCCTGGAGCGGTTCAGCATACCAAAAAACAAATAATAAGGGGACTGGGGACTATATATAGGACACTGCACAAGGATGTGTACCCCTTCCAAGGTAGACAGACAACCCAACTACGAAAGTTTCAGCCACCCGAGACACAGAGAAGAGTATGAGTTGCATCGCACGGGAAAAGGGGGTAGGAGGCGGGAGGGGGGGGCACAGGCGGCACATTACCGCCTGGCTATCAGCGCCAATATCGGACAGAGGGGGGGGGGGGCTCTCACTCTGACTACATGAGGCTAGTGCACGCTGGCCTCATCAAAGCCCCTGTGCAAGCCGTCCGTGGGACGGGGTGGTGAGCAACAGGGCGTCGTTGTGAGTGCTTGTAACTCCTTACGCCCGGTCAGCGGGGAAGTGAGTGAGCGGTTACAGCACGGGGTGAGGCTGGCTGGGAGGTACCCTCGGAGGTACCGCCGCGTACCGCACCGCGCCCGGGGCCCCGCTGGGGTTGGGCGGAGCGGGGCTGCTGTGTGGGGTAGGAACAACGAGGATGGATGGGGGGCAGCGAGAAGGGGCGAGTGAAGGGGAGGGAGAGGGGGGAGGTGGAGGCATCAGACGCATCGGGGTGGAGGGGGGTGAGAGGGGAGGCGGGGCGTGCGAGCGAGCGAGAGCCAGAAAGAGATCAGTGGAGAGAGAGAGAAAGAGGGGGGAGGGGTCAGACAGACTGAGCGCAGAGAGACACGCCGACCATACGATGGAGCGAATGGAGGGAGGTAGAGAAAAGGAAGGGGGGCGGAGGGGCATAGAGCTCGCCGCTTCCCAAGCTGTATTGATTGCCATCATGCAAACTGTCGCCGGAGCGGACCCGCGGGTATACGGCACCAAGGCGTGCCGCCGAGCTGGAGGGCGTCCTGGAGGGTTGTCATGGAGGGCGGGTTTGAAGGGGCGCTGGAGGGTTGTCCTGGAGGGCGTGTTGGAGGATTGTCGACATGGAGGGCGTCCTGGAGGAGTGTCCTGGAGAGCGGGCCGTGGGGTCGTGCTGGAGGGATGAGGTGGAGGGGCATGCGACCCCCTCTGAGCCGGGCTGGAGCGCTATGACAGGCGCCGCCTGACAGATGAACACAACCCGAGCTAAACGGTTTTAATGACTCCTCTCGGAGCACTACAGCGAGCCGGCTTAGTGGCGTGCGAGGGGGTTGATTGTTAAGCGCCCGGTGTTAAGCTCCGTTACGCCCGACGCTTCCGAGTGTGGTTTGATAACAATGCATGTGTAACATGCAGAAGAGGGAGCAACTACACAACTCGGGTTGGGGTTTTGATGCTCTTTTAAATTTCTACGGCAGTGATAGGCACTGCTACGTCGAAAGCAGAACTCTCATTCTGCAATGAGCGGGCACCCCTCCTCACCTCTCCCCAGACCTGGACCCATGCGCCCGCCGAGTCGAGGATAGGCAAACCCGCCCGCACCTGCGTCTTCTCCGAATCACCCGGTACTAAGAAGAGGAACCAAAACGGAAATCAGATTATGGCGATCGCATCGCTGGACGAGAAATTGGCATTACGTCGTTTCTGGCCGTGGTCGCTCACACTCTTCATTTTTCGGACTTGGGCTTTTCAACGTTTCGATCAGTCACTGGAGCTGGCGGTGGGCGGGGCGGGTAGTTCCGGGGCGGCGAAAGGCGGCTCGACAAGAGCCGGGAGTTCTGACCTACATCCCCTGTCCGCGCAGTGCCCGTGGCCGGAAGCCTGAGCCCGTGGCCGGGGTGGGCGCCGCGGGGCGGGGCAGCGGGGGGTTGCTCCACCCTCTTGCTGGGCCCAACGTGCCTATACAGGGCCGGCAGCGGCAGCCCCGAAACGCGCAAAGTCACACCCCAAAAAATACATGGACACGCACTCAGGAGACTTGTTGCAAACCCTCTCCCACCCCACCGCGTCCTGAGCGTACAGTGTCCTCAACCGCGGCAGCCGCCTGATCCACCGAACCTTTGGCAGTACAGAACCAGCAGAGCCCGCCCCTCAAAGCCGTGATGGCGAGGACGAACAAGGACCGCAAAACGGTTCAACGCAGGAATTGGGCTTTGATGACGGGGTGCTGCTGGTTGCCATGGCCGCCCCCTCCATAGCCTCCATACCGTCCCGACCAAACCCACCACCCTCGCTTTGTTTGCACCGCGATAGGGAGTGCGCGGATCTGTACGCGGGTTACACGGGAGGGAGGGAG